TTATCCACGTTCCCGAGAGTCTCCATGGTAAAGTTGGGAAGGCTCACAAACTCGAAGAAGATACCCCTGGAAATGTCTTCTGGAAGGATTCTACACATAAGAGAGAAGAGTCTGTGACACAATGATTCTCAAATTGCATCAAAGCTCTATGTCTAGCTACCTTGATAACTTTGCTGGAGTTCCGGTGTCACTTCTATCACTGCATATAGTCTATGGTCAGGCATCTCCTGGTCCGTAGCCTTATTCGAACCTGGTTGTTAACCTGGCTACTCACCATGCATGAACCGGCATCCCGTTCTCACAGTTTAGCCTTCGGTTGTGCTTCAAGTTCATAAAATTGTTCATAAAACTCCAGTGCCTTCGGGTTCACCACTGTCGCGCTGACTTGCACCTTGTTCCCGCTGATAATCTTCTTGACCGCAATCTCGACTTTCTTCCCATTGATAGTCATAGGTATCTCCGGAACCTGCACAATGAACTTGGGTACATGGCGTGCCGATAGACTGGTCCGTATTGCTAGTCTTAACCGCTGCTCCAGTTCAGGAGTCAGTCTGTTCTGAGCTTGATTTCTCATCTTGACGAAAAGGAAGACTTCCTCGTCTTTGTCCTTTACACGGCGTCTTCCAACACAGAGGGTATTCTCAATCTCGGTGTTGAATTGAGGTCCCTCAGATATCGCATAGATCTCAGCACTACCAAAGCGGATTCCTGATGGATTCAACACACCATCACTGTGTATAGCTTGTTAGTGATAATACCAATATGTTCCTGCTTTGGAAATCATGACATACCTTCTTCCATGCATTGAAATACCCTTCGTCACTGGGTTCACACTGATCCAGTCATGCTGGGCCCAAACACAGATATGTTCGTATCGTTCAAAGTACGATGAGTTATACTTTTTGTTATCCTTATCCCCCCAGAGAAACACCGGCATTGATGGGAACGGTGTCCTGCAAATCAATTCCCCAGATTGGCCAGTCTATTCAAAATGTTAGATCCGTAATCGACGAAGCCTCGCCCAAATATTTACTACCGAATATAGGCTCTTACATGTGTAATTGATTCCCCTGTATCGCTATCCCCAACCTCAACGTTCATTCCTAGTGCGAACATTTGCATCTCCCCTGCATACACCGGGCTAGAAGGGTCACTCGCAATCCCTACGTCGCAGCCACGTTATTATTACTCCTGAGATGCAGGAATAGAGAGAAGCAAGTTATTGACTTACAGGATGTAGCTATATCTGTCCCCCCTGCCACGCTACTCAAATGGACATACGGGAATACCTTATAAAACCACCGAAACTGGTCTGCCGTCAGTGTTGACCCTGTGGTTGTTACCATCCTGAGAGCACTCAGGTCGAACTTCTCGCGGGGGACGACTCCAGATGCCTCAAGCTCAAGACAGTACCTCGGAGAAGTTCCCCAGTATGTTACCCTAAAGAGACTGTCAGATACCCTGACTGCAGATACATGATGCATACAATGGATACATACTTGAACCTTTCCAATATCTTCAACATTGTGGTCGCATCTGGCCAGAGCGGCGAGCCATCATAACATATCAGTGTTGCCCCTGCACCAAGATGTCCGTTCATAATGTTGAACAGTACCCATGAAGTGCTTGTGTATTGAAAAACAACATCCCTTGGTCCAAGGGAGTTATGAAGGAGGGATACTTTGAGCAATTGCAGAACTACTCCGTGTTGATGAACGAGACATTTTGGTGGTCCAGTTGTTCCGCTTGAATAGAGAATGTAAAGCGGGCATGAGAACGGCACCCGCGTGAATTCAAGGGCATCTGTATCTCGAGCCTTTGCTAAAAATGTACCAATCAGTGGAAATGAAGACTTGCTCGTATGACCAATTGGGTTCACAAAGACGAGTGACTTGGATAGCCTTTGCATGACGGCCTTTATCTTTTCGTCAAGCGACGTTCTATTCCCCTTGTAGGACATATCGCTGTCGGCAAATATAATGGAAGGCTCTATCTGCTGGAACCGAGATACACAGCCCTATTTGAATGTTACTACCAGTGACGCTGCGCCGGTATTATCCCCCACATGGGTGATCTTCACCTACCTCGATTCCCATGTCCGGTGATATCGATGAGAAGATAGAACCAATTGAAGCGGAAGCCAGGAGAAGCACCACACTCCAGATAGATGTTGATACTATAGCACCTATTCTATCACCTTGCTTGATCCCATGTTGCAGCAAGGCACTACGTACAACCCGTATCCTTTCATTGAGCTGACTCCAGGTCACAAACTCCCCGTTCAGAGGGTCAGATTCCCGTAGGCCGATGAGGGCGACTGCCTCGGGGTTCTTCCCTCGCAGTATATTCTCCGTGTAATTAAGCTCTATGTCCTTGAAGAATGGTGGTATTGAGTTGAGTGGAACAGTGTCATCGTATGCCCTAGTGGTACCAGGAGGAAGTTCGGGGACAATCCCAATGTATTTATACAAATCAATCCAGAAATCATGGGGCTTCTTCACGCTCCATTGCTGAAGCTGATGGGAATTTTGAAGGTTGAGATTGAATATCTTGTTCACTCGTTGTCGATACTTATCAATCGGGTGGTTTCCAGCATTTGAGGATACCCAAAGTGGTGTCTGTGAGACCGACGACATTTTTTGGACAGAAGTTTTCCCGGAACCCACACTTCCAATGTTTGCAGGCAGGCAGGGTATGGATAAGGATGTTGTTCTATTAGATCAAGGGTCAGAGGACAGGCAGGGACGTAAAAGATACCAAAAATCAGTTTACTCCAGATCTCATACAAGAGTGCAGTTGATCGTCGGCGCCGGCTAGTTAAGTTAACCTCGGCCCCTTGATCCTAGCTAAACGAGACGCCATCTCAGCAACATATTTCGCCTACGTACAGTAAAAACTATCTTGGGCTAACTGGAGCTGGAATTACTTGGGTACATATTATTTTATGATCAATGGCGGACATTTCACTATCCCCATAGCCATTATTAGATGCCTTGGATAATATCCACAAGCATATATCGTATATGATCAACAGGCGACAAATGTGTAGCGAAAAAAAGGGAGCCTTTCAAATCAAGAATTACACCCCGTGGGCGGTAAAGAATCTCCAAAGAAGAGCGATTATGCCAAGTAAGACTCCAACGAAGAGAACTATGTGTGTTTTTTAAGTTAGCAAGGACTCGGGCAGCTGGATCAGGGCACTTCAGGGGCTGACCTCGATTCTCAACATATATACCCCCTCGACTGAGTATTAACATCAGCCGCTTCCCTTTTAATAGCTGCTGGGCAGATATACCGCCACAACTTGACCCTTCGATCACCTGGCAACCAGCAAGTCCTCGCTTGCACTCCAGGTGCCATCGCCTCCTCTCCATGATCTGATTTACCTCACTGTTGCAGAATAATTCGTCTGTACGAAGCACACAGTTCTTTCGAGGGACTGTAAGCCCTTTTTCATGGCGCTCGATGATCCAGTCGACCCGTAGTGGTAGGTTCGTTCGAACTAGCGAGTAGAGGTAGCTGTTTGTATGTTTTAAAGCCAACGCATCCGGGTATGATAGGAAAGATGCAATATGCATGTGTATCTCTGTGGGTAAGCGGATGAACGACTGCTTATTTGGTATTGCGATGGCTGGCTTGATTTTGGACATTGACGAGGGCTGACCAACAAGAGGCGCTATCAGCTGATGTTGTCCCATTTTGGAGACCAACAGAAAACAAGTATAAGGGTATTAAAATATAGATTATCCTAAAAAATATCCACATTAATCGTGGGAGTACTCCGTAGAAGCAGCCTGAATATATAGTCTGCCGAATTGGCTTCAAGTATCTCTGTTGCCTGCTGCGTCTCGTAAACCACAGCCGAGCCACAGCCACCACAAGGCAGACGCAAAACCAGAGATACACCATACACCTAACCAGATTTCCGAGTAGCTGTATAGAGTAAACACCTTCATAACAGCATGGAGGTGGTCAGTCGGAGACAAAAGACAGATATAAAATGATTCTTTTGCTAAAAAGGGCCTTCTATCCAGTTGCTTGCTTGATGTGTTTCTTCCTGCTTGAAGCATTCGATAGGTTTTAGTCTTTTCACGTGACCGATATCAGTTATGTGATTACTAAGCAATAGCGGCTCCAGCCGGACGATAAGCTTCAAAAGCTGCGCGACTTCAAGCAAGCTTCATGATATTTTACCTGCAGACAAGCAGCATTCATATAGGGGCCTTTCTACCCTGAGCTGCTACCCGGAAAGTGCTTGTACGGAACATATTTGGTATTATATGTACGGGTTTCTGTCTCCTAGCAGCCACTATGAGTGACAAGAAGTCGTTTTACAACAAACCCGTGTCAGACACCTCATTCCGCAAGACCTGGGACCGCGAAGCCTATACCGAAAAGGCCGCTGCAGACGAAGCCAAATCAAAGGAAGAAGCCAAAGCGCGCTACGAGGCCAAACTACAAGGCAAAAAATACCATGCCCCCGTTGATTTTAGCTCTCTTGAAGCTACTACTTCCCGCGCGAGCCGGCTTGATGTTGCGAGCTTGGTTGGAAAGACAACACTGGTTCCCGCTGGTGCGGCAGTAGGGAAACGAGGCCGTGGTGCAGGATTTTATTGTTCAGACTGCGACTTGACGTTTAAGGACAATATCCAACTTGTCGAACATTTGAATAGCAAGCAGCATTTATATGCGACAGGACAAAGTGGAGAAGTTGTGAGGGCTGGAGTTGTGGAGGTTAGAAACCGCTTAAGGTGGTTGGCACATAAGAAGCGGGTGCAGGAGGAGGAGGACCGGAAGGCGGGACAGTTGGATCTTGACCTGAGAATTAAGACAAGGGAAGAAGAAGAGGCTAAGGAGCGGGAGGAGAAGAGGAGGAAGAGGAATGAAAAGCGGAGAAAGTCTGGCAAAGACGGTGTTAAGCAAGAAGATGCTTGGGAGGGTCGACTCGGTATTATATCTTGAGCCAGTCCTTTCCCACATATGGGCTACTACAGTACCACTAGCAGCGGGCCTTCCCTGTAAGGCATTCCAGGAAAAGAAAAATATAAGTCTCGACCTCGACCTACAAGGGATGTGAGCATGCACAGGATCACACGTATCAAGGCCATTATTATGCTTTGCCTATTTATGTGCTGAAATCCCCCTAAATTTACCCGGACCCAACGCCCTTTACCGCATTATATACATTATCATGGATCAGACATTGAAGAGTCTGGTTAATCTATGCACTCTATTCCGTTCAGTGCCTGCATTGCACGTCCGCCTTCCCTTTCAAAAATACCAACGACTCTCTCGCATTCGTTGCGCAATTTCTCTTCGCCTTTTTCTGCGTTCCAGAATATCCACTCTTCGATACTCATTCGCTTCTCAGGACTGGTAATCCCATCCTTTGCGGCGTGCAAAACCTCTGCTAGAGACACGCCCTCCTTTTCTGTTGGGTCAGGGAGGAGGACTTCATCTGGATCAATGGATTCCCAAGGATCAGCTGTGGTCAGTTGTCTCGAGCTCGATTCTCCCTTTGAAGGAGATAGAACAGGTGTCTTCGTGACCAAAGGTTCCTCGATAGATTGTGAAACCGCATGGGGCTGTGTTTTGGACATTGTCGATGGCTTACTTGAAGGTGGTCGGTTTTCCGCATCAGAAGCTTGAGGAGACGATGATGGGCCATTTTCACGGGGGATTTGTTGTGCAGATGGCCTCATTCTAGAGGGAGTTTCTTGGGCCGGCTGTACTTGTTCAGAGGACCGACGACCAATAGGCCGACTGTCAAGTTCCTCTTTTGTTGAGCCAGCCTCTTTTCGAGGCAACGACTCTGTCACTGGACGTTGGCTGCTGGGGCCCCTGCTCCTTGTCGTTTTGGCAGCATCTGCCTCACTATTTTTCTTACTGCTCCTGCCCTTAGACAATCGAGGCTTTGTTGGCTCCTCTTTGTTCGATTCCACATCCTCACTTGGATCAGTAGCCTCAGGTAGATTGATGTCATTGACGTTATTACTGTCTGTCCTCTTCTTTCGAGATTTGGTAGTGTTCGTTGTAGTTTTCGCCTTTGTTTGTTTGACTCTTTTAGGGGGCGAAGTATCTTCTTGGGACTGAGTTGGTATTGAGATGACCGGCTCGTCCGTATCCACGTCCACTTCCGAATGCAGCTGTGGAGGCTGTTCTAACTTGGCCACGGAAGAAGTAGATGTTTGCTTCTTCCTTGTAGACTTTGTTGAAGCTTTCTTTGGCGGTTCCTGCTTAGGCGGCTCATCCAAATGTTCATCTTTCATGCTAGATTTCTTGCGCCGTTGGCTATGGGCCTTTTCGGCTGTGCTGCTGGCCATATCCTCCACTGGGAAATCTTTGTCAAGGTCAGCTTCCAACTGCGCATCAATCTCATCATCATTGGGTATATGAGAATTTGATGAGGTAGCTGGAGCATTGGATGCAGTAGATGATTTTCGTATCTTGTTGGTGCTCCCTTTCTTACGGCCTCGCTTTGGCTTCGAAGCGGCCTCCAGAACTAATTCGTCATCTGTAGGCTCAGCATAATCAACCACAGAATTTGCTGTACTCCTGGCCTTCTTTGTCCGTGTTGATGTGACACGTTTCTTCTTTGGCTTTGGCTCTGGCTCTGGCTGGTTATTGTCTAGGTTATTCCCTTCCATCCCACTGATTGCCGCGCTCTTCCTTTTTGTGCCTCGCGAAGGGCTTTCAAGGAAAGATGATGTTTCTTTATCATGTTGTTCAGTGATCGCCCGCTCATTGTGAACATCTGCGTCCTCTTCTTTCTTCGCCTTTGCGGTTCTAGACTTTGATTTGGTTGCTTTCTTTGGAGCCTTGGAAGCACGGCTTCCGCCTTGGGATATAATACTTTGCTCCATGGTATCGTCGAAGTCGACAGACGGTGCTTCGGAAACAGCTGTAGCATTTGATTGTGTAGAGAGTCGCGAAGCCTTTGAACCACGCACTGCCTTGGCACGCGTTGATTTGCTAGACTTCTTAGGATGCTTTGAGAATTCAAAGAACGAGCAGTCGGAAGAGCGACGATAATGTTCATCACTATTTCAGAGGTTTAGTATACGAATTATCAAAAGTGGATGGCAGGGTATGGCATACAAGGGGTGGTCTTTTGGCTCCCATCCATCCAAAGAGAGCTTGCAGTAGGGACAGCTGACCAAATCATCACTCTCTTCGTTAGGACAGAAATACCATCCTGCTTCAACCATCTTCCCATTCAGTTAGACACAAGAGCACAGCACCGCAGGATATCAGGAATTCACACCTTCTCTGTCTTGCAAAGCCATCCTCGTTTCCCGTCGTGTGGCCAAGAGAAAAATGTAGCCCTTCGAGCATCAGCGATTTTTGAGCTGGTAGGGTCCTCAATCTGCGCGGGATCAGAGGTCTTCCGGGTAATAGCCATCATAATAGCCCATCCGCATTCGGGCGAGAAGTGTAGATGTTCTGTAAAGGGGTCATCTCCTTCTTCCCAGCCATCGAGAGATCGTTCGCAAAGAAAACAGGTGGTGTTATCAGGGCTAAGCGCCGTTGGAGTGTAGTGAAATCCGGCATGGGCAAGCTAGTAATTCAAAGTCAGATTGGGGTAACTTGATCTCGTAGAAAGCGCTAACATACCTCATCTGGCGAGGGAGAAGCGTATGACCAAGTCAACTCTTCGCCGGAACTGGACTTATGCGTGACATCGAAAGTTGCCCTGCGACCGGCAACAGTCTGTAAGTCGTTAGAAACAGGCATGGCTGTAGTATTCCGAGACACAGGTGTTCATTCAGTCAATTCCACCCTCGACCGGGTCGTATTTCATCGATGGCTGTGTGTGCTTGGATTGATATTTATAGGTGGAGTTGAAAGCGACGTCCAGCTTTTTGCTTGTATGTTTACCCATTTCCTAACTCGGTCAGACAAATCACAGGTCAGGTGATTTATCATTTGCTTATGTCAGTTATTATTAATAAGCTTGTTTTATATATGCCAAGCCTCCGTCCCCACCGCCTTCGTGATGGATTACATCAGCAGCTGGAATTCTGCCGGGGCGGTACTTAATCCTTGTGAAAGCGAAAGCCGCCAGCAAGTTGCAACAACATTGAACGTCAAACATACGCAACCCACGGCTAGACACAGTGTGCCCATGCTAGCGAGCTATATACACTGTCGCAGCTGTAGCTGTGTACCTTAGATATCGCCTATTTTCTACTAGTCATGCGCCAGCTCCATGTGTGTTCACTCTCTGCTCTCCTCCCTCTCTCCCCCTAGAGAAATCCAAGTTTGTCTGGTCCGCAATCAGATGGCTGACCTTTGGTACCGAGCAGATCCTGAGGCCCAAGCTGGCCTTTACTTGTGGCCGGCCTCAAGCTATTACCTTGACTTCACTTGCTCTCACTTCCAATTCCTCCCACGTACGACTTCTGTCTACGGAGCAGACATCCACGCAGCTAGGCTCCAATGCTGGCCCTCCACCAGGGTTCGATATCAACGATCATAGACACACGCCATTGCCCTCAAGTTCATCTCCATCGTCTACATCTTCGTCCTCTGATTTAGGGAAGCCTAGCGGGTCATCTACACCACGAACGGAGTTTGATTGGGAGGATAATCCTAATTTCTTGATCAAGAACTTTTCCGAGCTCCCTTCAAAAAATTTTGGAGTCAACCAGCATATGATAATCAATGAAGAGTTTAAAGAGGCTCTTAGACAGATTCTTTGGCAGTTCAAGGCGCCCATTAGATATGCATTTGCCTACGGGTCTGGTGTTTTCCCGCAGAGTGGGACGTCCGGAGAGAGTTGTCATCCGTCACCTCCACAGGCAATCCAAGCAGTGCAACAAGGTGGTGGGAAGATGATCGATTTTATTTTTGGAGTTTCACACAGCCAGCACTGGCATTCTCTAAACTTGAATCAGCACCGCAATCACTACTCCGCCCTTGGCTCAATGGGGTCATATGTTGTCTCACAGGTACAGGAGAGAATGGGAGCTGGAGTCTACTTCAACCCCTACATAACCGTCAATGGAACTTTGATTAAATACGGCGTTGTCAATATCGATGCCCTTTGCAAAGACCTTAGCCAATGGGACTCGCTATACCTTGCCGGACGACTCCATAAGCCAGTCAAGATCTTGCGGGACCACCCAAGTGTCCGGTTGGCCAACCAGGTTAACCTACTCTCAGCTGTCCGTGTTGCGCTTCTCCTATTGCCGCCAAAGTTCACCGAACAGGAGCTATACCGAAAGATTGCTGGTATAAGCTACCAAGGCGACCCGCGTATGTCCTTTGGCTCAGAGGACCCTAAAAAGATCCATAACATTGTCTCTGCCCAGATCACAAACTTCCGGCGATTGTACGCACCTTTAATTGAGACTTTACCCAACGTATCATTTAATGATTCCCAGTGCAATAATCCCGACTGGCTTGACAATCCGGACATAAATGTCTCCCTAGAGCAAGACATGGACCCTATCAAGCGTGGTAATATGGTTCGACGACTCCCTAAATCATTCCGTGAAAAGCTCTATTTCCAGTACCAAAGCCGATTTAAAATTCCACGAGGAGAATTCGAGCTAATGATGGAGAAGACTGCGGATGAAGACCCAGAGCGTTTCCATCGCCGGGAAGGGAGTGACTTTGACCGACGGATCGCCGCTGAAGGTAACCTGAAGGATGAAGTGACGTTATCCATAAAAAACACCATATCCTGGCCCAGTACCAGCCAATCGATGAAAGGCGTCCTTACAGCCGGGATTTCCAAGTCGATGCGCTACCTGCAGGAGAAGCGCCAGAAGTACAACGCATCGAGGCGATCCAGCTCTGAATTACCCGAAACCAGCTCTGAGAACAAGACCAAGAGCGATTGAGGGCATGTATATTTATATAAATTCTTTGAGGCGGCGGTACAGGAGTTTACCCTCTTGTCTTTCGTGAGAATCGAGCATTTGGTGGTTTGGCGTTTAGTATATTGATGTTACCCTACATCTGCCCCTTTTGGAGACTTCCATTTCTTTTTTTTGACTCCCTGTTCTAGAGGTGCGTGTGTGAGATCACCACTGGCGTTTTTGAGTGTACATTGACATCAAAGGCACCCCCATGGGTATCTATCCGGGAGGATATTATTATTTATACCAAGAAGATAAAACCATTTGTCCATTGGTAACTTTCCACTTTGCTACTTATATTATTATTAAGGACTAAATATCGGTTGCACTTAAATGTTGCACCGATAGATAAGGCATCGTCAAACATCATTCCACGTCATAAAGAGTCAATTATCTTTTCGCCTCATCAGGTATACTTGCAGGCAACCGGCTTCGTCTTCATAGTGTGAGCAGTGAAAGGGAGACAGCCCTTGTTTCCACCTGGAGTAGCGATACCAAGATCTGCCCAGACTGTCCAGGACTTGATCTTTGGGTCTGAGGTAGGACAGGCGATGAGTCCCTTGCCCTTGAATTTCAGGTTTCCTGCTCCATCAATAGTCCAGCCCTGGACTTCCCACCGCGAAGGAAGCTGGCCATCACCAGTCAAATATCCGATCTTGCCTTGACCTGTGTTGGCAAGTTTAGCACCCGGTTCAGTAGGAACACTAATAGAAAAAAAAAGGAAACATACCAAATCCAGAGCGGTCCAGAAAGACCTTTTGTACTGGGTTGGAAGATCCAGTATAGAGATACAAGATGGAATCCTTAAGATAGAAGACGGCGTCCTTGGGCTTTGGGCAGCCAGGCTTGACTTCACAGACAGCACCCGAGTCCCCGTAATTAAGGAAAATATTACTTCTGGACGCATCGAATCGAGCGGAGGGGACCTTGGGATTGCCTTTGGCTTTGATGCTGAAGGTCTGAGGCGGCGGAGTGGCAGTGGTGAAGCCGGCAAGGGCGAGGGAGGCAGAGATGATAGTAAGGAGCTTCATGATGAATGATGGTATTATTCACCGCAAATGCAAGGGTATCGATGAGAGAGTGCAAGAATTGCACGGGGATGGGAATCAGCAATAAAAAACATCCTGGGGGCTTCCTTCATATATCCTCTTCCGTTCACTTCTGGGCTACCAATACGAACAGTCTATACATCTTGCGCTAGGCCTGATGTCTTACATTTAGGCCAGCGAGAGTACTTCTTCAGCTTCCTCGTCTTCACGCCTCTGACAGGAACTACCTATAGGCGGCTGATGTTAAACGAGAGGCGAGAGAGGCGAGAGAGGCTTGATGGCGTCTGGACCTTGGCCTCTGCTGCGGGCGATGTCTTGACCTCCCATCGTTCCTTAAAATAGGGAAAAAGCAATAGCTAGTCAGTAGTGTGTCTAAGTTGCGGGTCGCTCAGCAGATCTTGGATCCTCCAGCAAGCAGCTCACTACTGAAATGCCACTATGTGATGCGCTGAGACTGCGTAGCAATGATCGATACATGTAGTGATATAATCCAAATGAGAGAGGCTCCAGGCTATACAGCTATGCCTATCTCCAGTTACCCGCACGGCTTGTGGGTTCGAGAATCCACAGCTCCATCTAGTGAACTAACTAGCTATGACTCAGGTCGATTAACCAACTCATACGCAGGATATCACAGGCCTTTTCTCTGCCAGAGTACAGCGTGGGCTGAAGAGATTCTTTCGCGTTGGAGAAGAGTCCCGGCTAAGAAAAGCATAATATATGAATTATCTCCTAATTATTGGCCAGCAAAGCTTAAAGACGCTACGACTTGGAGAAGTCAGCCAGCCAGCCAGACTTCTCACCACCCACCACCGCCTCATCCCACAGCCGCCAGCAGAAGACAGCGACGTCGATATGGCGAGAGCATCTCCCTTTGACCTGTCCAAGTGCGCAAGACCTAACATCCTTCAGCTGCAGCCATATCGATGTGCAAGAGAGTAGGTCTATCGCCCTTGTCGGGTACAATGTAGTTAGTTGAGCACCACTGCTAACCGAGTCAGCGACTACAAGGACGACGGCACAAACGTCCTTCTCGATGCCAATGAGAACGCATACGGTCCCAGCCTCACTCTAGAGACCATCGAGAAGTCTGCAGGTGCTCAAGATGGCTCAAGCCCGGGCGATATTGATTTCCTGGGTTTGCACAGATACCCTGACCCGTAAGCAGTTCTGTCTCCACCTTGTTAAGTTGCAGACGAGGCAGCTGTTCCTTCTAACGGGTGAATACGATATGGATATAGACACCAAGTAGAGCTGAAGCAGCTATTCTGCAACTTGCGCAATACTCGGATCCATACACAAAAGGAGTTGAAGCCAGAGAATCTCTTTGTTGGCGTGGGCTCGGATGAGTCAATCGATGCCTTAATTCGATGCTTCTGCGTGCCTGGAAGGGACAAGATTTTGACATGTCCTCCCACATATGGCATGTATGCTGTCTCTGCCCAGGTCAATGACGTTGAGGTCGTCAAAGTGCCACTAGATGTTACACAAGGATTCCAGCTTCGTCCAGCCGCCATAACCGAGGCTCTCTCCGCTGACCCATCTATTAAGATCGTATATATTTGTTCACCAGGGAACCCGACTGGGAACCTCATCAAAAAGGAGGACATCCAAAAGGTCCTGGAGCACGAAACTTGGAATGGAATAGTCATTGTTGATGAAGCCTATATCGATTTTGCACATGAAGGGAGCAGCTTGGCGGAATGGGTCACCGAGTGGCCGAACCTCGCTGTTATGCAGACTCTGAGTAAAGCCTTTGGCCTGGCGGGTATTCGACTAGGAGCCACATTCACCAGCCCAGAGATTGCACTCTTGCTGAATAGCATGAAGGCTCCCTACAGCATATCTACCCCTACCAAGTCTCTTGCCATTGCTGGCCTTTCCCCTGAGAATCTTGCTCTGATGCGCAAGAACAGAGAGAAACTACTTGCTCAGCGCACGAGGCTACTGGAGGAGCTTCCCAAGATTCCTGGAGTTGGCCGATTTCGGGGCGGCACTCACTCCAACTTTCTCTTGGTAGAGATGCTAGACAAGCCATCGAGTGATGGTGGGAAGCCTTGCAACAAGATTGCCCAATCCGTATATCAGACGCTGGCTGAAAATAAGGGAGTAGTCGTTCGTTTTAGGGGTAAAGAGCACGGCTGTGAAGGCTGTCTGAGAATTACAGTAGGAACAGAAGCTGAGGTTACAAGATTCCTTTCAGACCTGAGAATCGTTTTGGCGGACATGCTTGGAAGAAAAGAAGTTTAATCTTAAGGTATTAGCAAGAGAATATTTAACTTTAAACAATATATATTACCGTTTGAATAGCGCTATTTGAACATGAACGAATGCTTCGCCAGCGCCTAATGAGTATATACGCGCCTGACCAGGATAACCACCCCTAACAGACCTGCCAAAGAAAAAGGATCAAATGACATCCAGTGGAATATTACCGCTCACATAATTGACCAAGCCCAACACCGGTTGACAACACTGATATACATCTCCAAAGCTTTTATATCTATTAACTCGTTAGCAATGCTCCCACTCATCGTATCTGTTTTCGAAGATAACTCACAAGACGTAAAGGAGTCCTTAGAGGAGCACGACCCCCGTGAAGGAACATCGCAACTGCCTTGCTTGGCGTAGCCTGAAGTTTTCGATACGCTTCATGGACATGTCTTGCCTCGATAGGGGTTCGTCCTTCTTCTGGAGGATCAAACAGTCCGGTCTCCCTTTTCCTCTTCTTCTTCTCCCCCGATCCATCCTCTGAGGCTCCAAGTCCCTTCTTGCCACGGTCTTCCTGCTCTTTGACTTTCAAAGCTTCCTCAGTTAATGTCTGCACAATCTCAAAGGTAAGGAAGCCAAGGATATCGACGATATCGTCATTTGGCTTGAAATCTGTCACAATACCAAACCCAGCCCATTCCCTGAATCTTTTGGCCTTTCTGAAAGTGAACGATGCTTGCCGGCAGTCTGACCAGAAGACATATTCTTCACGGGTCATATTCTTCGTACGTTCATCCGCAGTAGCGAGGCGTTGGAGTGTGGCGTAATTCTGCTCCTCTTCTTCCTCATCTTCCTCGTCTTCTCTTTCGGGTACCTGGATGGAATATAAACTGTTCAGGTCCCAAGGAAGGCCGATTTTGGCCCTTTTATTCTTAGGTTTGGCTGCGATTTCCTGAGGACCGGCAACACCAGCTCCTACGAGGGCATCGTCTCCAGCTCCAAAATCGGCGGTATCAGCACCGCCTTTATCATCAGAGTCTTTAACGTTCTTTCGAACATCTTTCCAGGAAAGAAAAGTCTTCAGGCGAGAAACCTTGGCTTTGTCATGCCGTATCAAGAAAAATAGATCGTCTGTAGATATTGATCTAACGCCTCGTCTGGCAGCTAGCGTGGTGCTCCGTGAGAGCTAGAAGTTTTTCAGTAATGTATAACTGCGTCGCATGTTGGATGTAAAGCTAGCTTACCATTTCAATAACTTGTTGCCGTACTATCTCTTCAATAAGTGTAGTGGTTTCCACAGAGGCTTCTGCAGATTCTCCTGACACGAACATCATCTATACATATTTTTAGCACGAGTTCATCCTATTTGAAAGGCTCAGTCCTGCATAAAATGTAGTTTCCCAAGGTATCAACGTGAATACAACGACATATGTCAGCCAAGCAGTGCTCCTACGCAAGGAAGCAGGTCGTGGAAATCCCTGAAACATCCCATGCATATAACATGTCTTCTTGATATATCGGACGTCATAACTCGTGTGCGTAAAACCCCCTTGTATCCCCAAGAGACACGGAAATCGGATGACCTACCTGCTGGATTTCCTGCCGATATTTTGGTGTTCGCTCCATCCTGGCTGGATATCACACTAGAAGAGTGTTTGGGTGTTTGGTATCAAATATAGAAGATTCTGATTATTAAAAATTAAAATAATCCAGATGGATGGTGGAAGACGCATAAAACATATGATATCAAGATGGAGACGAAGTTGAAGATCAAAAAAAGGCGAAGTTCAAAAGTAGCCGCGGCTTAGTCAGCATTCCTTTCTACATCAAAGCGCAAAGACTACTAAGTGTTCGCCCCATGAGAAACACAAGTGACGAGGGGGCTGGAAACGACTTGATGACCCTTTTTCCTACTGAGTATCGTTATTTCTTGCTCTTTTCAAGCGAATTTTCTATCTCAGAATTGAAAGTCAACGTTAGTTTTGGAAGCATCACGTGACCATTGGTTTTTGCAGCCGCCTTGTCCTTGCCCCGCGGGTTGTATCAGGATAAAAACTGACACATAGATACCTCAAGCATTAGGTACATAGCTTGGGAATGTTGGCCTGGCTTTATAGCATCCTCCAGCCTCAAATCTTGATGTCAGTCGATAAAATAAGGGACGGTAAGCAAATGCTTGGCGCAGATAAACAATGCCAAGACTTGAAACATCCCGCCGCTAATCTCGATAAGAAAAAACGAGGGCATGGAAAGGAAGAGTTGACGGGGAAAAAAAATGTCACACAGCTGCAATACTCTAACCATACATAAAGATGCTTTACCTCGTGGGGTTGGGTCTCGCTGATGAGACTGACATCACTGTTAAGGGCTTGGAAATCGTTAAGAAAGCCGAGAGAGTGTATCTTGAAGCGTACACGAGCATTCTACTCGTTGACACAGCTAAGCTGGTATGCACATCCAAACTGGACCCCCACCCTGTGAATTGGAGATGTCTAGTCAGCTAACTTGTTGGGCTGAAGGAAGAATTCTATGGAAGACCGGTGATAGTAGCCGACCGTGAAATGGTCGAATCAAGCAGTGATGAAATCCTACATAATGCAGACAGAGTAGACGTTGCCTTCCTCGTTGTTGGTGATCCCTTTGGGTGCGTGAACACACCACACCACACCACCCTTACCTTACCTTACGTGTTCGCTCTAGATTTTCAACTAACGACATAATGATTTCATTTTATAGGGCTACTACCCATACCGACCTTGTCCTCCGCGCTCGAGAGCTGGGGATTGAAATGAGAAATATTCCGAATGCCTCGATAATGTCCGCTATCGGCTGCACGGGCCTTCAGCTTTATAGTTTTGGCCAGACTGTTAGCATGGTATTTTTTACCGACACCTGGAAGCCATCTTCTTACTACGATCGGATCAAACAGAATGCTGAGCATGGCTTGCACACCCTTGTGCTCTTGGATATCAAAGTGAAGGAGCAATCGCTAGAGAATATGGCGAGAGGGAGAAAAATATACGAACCTCCAAGATACATGACGGTCGCACAATGTGCCGAGCAAATGCTTGAGACCGAGGCTGAGAGAAAGGAAGGCATCTGTGGGCCCGAGAGCTTAGCGATAGGTGCTGCTCGAGTTGGCGCCGTAGACCAGCAGCTTGTTGTTGGAACTCTCAAAGAGTTGACGAAGGTTGATTTAGGAAAACCCTTGCATTCGTTGGTTCTTTTAGGCACAAAAACCCACGAACTAGAGCGGGACTATATCCGCCGGTTTGCTGTTGACACAGCTACATTCGACAACATCTGGAAGAAACACTATGAAGCTAAATCATAATCTCAGGTCGATCCCCCAACAAACACCCCCAAAACTGTAGACGTTAGGCTCCAGGAAGAGAGAGGCAAATAATGAGCTATCAACTTCCCCTGAATGCCTCCTCAACCGTAAAAACAGCCGCCCACGTGACAATCGCAAGGTGGTAAACAAGCCGCACTCCAGATTCTCCAATGACATGTGTTGCAAATTACAATGAATATCAGCCCATCGGGTTTCGTTGCCCGTTTCCTCCTCCTGCATGGATAGGAGCTGAAAGCTGGTGGCTCTAAGGGAAATATTTAAGCCCTTGATCTATTGCAATCGAACATTTCCAATATCTGATTTTGCCTCTTCAATATGCCTGTTCTCAGAGAGCTCTAGAGCTTCAATAATTTCTTTCAGGCATGGTAGTATATATCGTTTACGGGTTCCGGTGGTCAAGAGTTGGCACCCTCACTGCACCAGGGATTCGTCCACATATCGTGATAAATGACCTTCTAGACGCTGCCTCCGACTATATCCAAGAGCCACGAACCGCTAAAGAGGTAATACAATCGTTTGAACGAATTGACGCCAACATCCCATCGCATCTCCCAAATCTGGCTTTAATAGAGCAATATGACTCGGAGGACACCAGCATATCTGCTCTCAGTCAACCATACGCTTTTGTTTGCTCGAAGGTGGTCCCAATCGGAGATGGCTCAGAACCACAGTTCAACTTCTTCTTAAGCCTTGATCTGGAAGATTTCATAAGTAAAGGCCCAGGCTTATCCGCAGCGGAATTGGCCACATTTGCGAACCTGAGAGAAGTCCTAGCTCCTGGCGAGAAGGTTGGTTGGTGGATAGTATATAACGGGAACCCCGAGAGATTTTCTGCGGACAAGACAGGGTCGGACTCAGATACTACTGAGGGGGATGGCGAGCCAGAGGAAGCTGGTCACAGAAGCGGCCCACCTGTATGTGTACCGATAAAGTCCATTATTATTGCTTGCACCCACACAGCTGCTAATAATCCTGTTAGCCCACTAGATCTGTCAAACCTCCGGCTGTTCCCCCAAAACCGAGGTTTAACCTTCCAGCGAGGCCCAAAAAGTAGTTCGCTGAGGACAAACTTGACGAGCTTTCCGTGGAGCGGGTTTGATGCTCCGACAGTTGATTCCAGTGTATGCTATCCAAAGAGAGTGTAGCCGCCTCGCAACCATTATATTTTGCACAGTAACGCCTGACAACCTGCCAGTTTCCAGGCCAATAAAACGTAGTCACAAGCGTGAACGAAGCAAGATCCTTCCGCGTTCTAGCGCTTGTTTATAATTTTAGTGATTATATAATCAGGAGATAGTCAAGAGTGTCTTGGCTCTGACTTCATCTAGCAAGGGAAGTTCGAACGAGCATCCCAGGGCGCAGAGGCAGAGCAGCACATCGCCAGGACTTCGACGGGCGATCAGTCCATCCGGGATGTGATAGTGTCTTAATACTATATCTGCTAGTCAGCGAAGGCATGGTTCTCTCATTCATCATCGTCCAGAACCGGCAGTAAGTTTTGTCGGTCATCTATCCCTTATCTGTTAAGGGAAATTATTCTAACAGGTTACTTGAGGGGCAAAACTCGCCTCGCAAAGTGGTATGCGCCGTATAACGTGAGTGTGCCCTTTCGGAATACTTATTAACACAGAGACTAACTTCTCGTAGGATGACGAGAAAGTGAGATTAAAGGGCGAGGTGCGAACTCCTACATATCCCCATGTTTTCTTCGGCCCATCCCTAGTTGTAGCCAGTCGATCGTACACGCCCTTTCACTGCTCATAAATGACTCTAACATTGCGCCGGCCACTCTCCAGGTTCATCGCCTTGTTGCCCCACGGGACCAGAAATATCAATCAAACTTCGTCGAGTTTAAGCGGAGCACCAAGATCGTATATAGGCGATATGCGGGCTTGTTCTTTTGTGTTTGCGTCGATGCAAATGATAACGAACTAGCATACCTGGAAGCCATACACTTTTTCGTGGAAGTCCTGGACCAGTTTTTCGGCAACGTCTGTGAGTTGGACCTGGTTTTTAATTTCTACAAGGTATGTTATGTGAAGCTGAGAAGAAAACTGAGGCACGAAAAATCGGCTGACACCCTCGTGTATCCAATAGGTTTACGCAATTCTCGATGAGGTGTTTCTTGCCGGCGAAATTCAAGAGACCAGCAAGCAAGTCGTGCTCACAAGGTTGGAGCACCTGGACAAACTTGAATAAGCGTCTAAAGTGACAAGGATACCCTACATACAGTTTTTCGTACTCGCCGCCTTAGATTGGTTGGGCATTGTGCATTAAACCCTTTGCATTTGCACTGAGTTTCATGACCAAATGAAGCATCCACACTTTATACAGAATAATAATCTTTTATGCCAGTGGGTGAAACATTTTTCAACAATCTATACGGGTACTAGACGAGAGAAATGTTCGACAGAAAGCAGTGACCTAGCGCACATAATTGAGTGTTGGGAACGCTGTCAATTCTGCGGATGATACCCTTTTCTCCTTTACTACAACGCTATGGAGGTAACTTCGGTATTTTATCTCGGTCAATACCGCCCCTCCTGGCATCTATTCTACCCAGATACCTATTGATATAGATAAATGTGTTTGTACCTCCGTTCAAGAACAAGGCAGATTGAGCTTTTTGATAAGAAGTTTAGTTTTGGAGGCTTCCAATCCGAGCGTATTACGTAAGCATCTCTATTTCAACTTCCAGGAAACAACATGCTTGACAGATACTGAAACCGAATCAATTGAGGTCAATGAGCACTACTATTAACTACTGCTGAAGTACTGAACCCCGATAAATGACTGTACTTGTGAAGAATAGGTCGAAACGATAAAGGAATAAGGCGAAAGCCGTATCCTTATTACATCCCAATTTAGGACATGGAACAGGGAATACATGGCGGCAGTCAAAATCTCCAGCCGGCCTAATTTGCCAATACAGGGGGAACAAAAAGGCCAGTTGCAATAGGTTTTTGTTTCCCTGGAACCATGGCTTTCAGCTTCTTGCGGTCAACCTTGAAGCCAGTCGTTGGGTAGCTTGAAAGCCAGTGAATTCCTCCTGTGAGTCGTCTCAGACCAGTTAATTTCTCCGCCGCGAACTGCTCAACTCTTATCTTCGCCACCTTGCTGTTGTTGGCATATTCGGGTTTCAAAATAACAAAAGCAGATGGCTCGTCCATTTGTGTGTCATAGTTCCGAGTGCCAACGACCACTACACTGGCAACAGCTGGATGTTCAAATATCACTGACTCGAGTTCACTGGCGGAAACATGAGATCCATAGCCTTCACCAACCTTCAGGAGTTCCTTGATACGGTCTATGATGTAGACGTTGCAATTCTCGTCGAGATAGCCGTAGTCTTTGGTGTGGAACCAACCCTCACTATCAAAATCCTGGTTTGCGGCCTCGTTGTCCTTGTAACCTCTGTACCTTGCAAGCTTGTTACGGACGAGAATTTCTCCCTCTTCCCTTATTCCACATTCAGCCCCAGTTTCCGTATTGATAACCTTGGCCTGGATTCCATTTGCCAAGGTACCACTTGACCCGGGCTTTTTGGTCGACTCATCCAACTGGATAGCAAGAAGCATGGTCTCCGATGTTGCCCATTCTAGGGTCAAGTGAACTCCTCCAAAGTTATCTGAGACTGTACGTCTTAGGTTTTCATGTATTGGTGCTCCCGCAGTCAGCATCCACTTTACACTGCTCACATCGACGCTGCTAACATCACATCGAGCTAGCCTAGCAGCGAGCGGGGGAGTGATGAAGAGGAAGGTGATATGATGACGTTCAATGACTCCAATATTAGATTCATCAAGGGTGCCATCTGCGAGAACCACTGGGATACCCAATATGATGTTCAACCCCATCATCAACTTAGCATTAATGAAGAACCCAAGGGACAGAGGAGACAGCCAGACATCATTATCAGGATCTGTGTTGGCTGGAATTGTCCTCTTTGTGGCCTCCATTGTGGCAATGAAGTGAGCATCACTTGTAATAACTGACTTCATAGTTCCAGTGGAGCCACTAGTTCTGTTGATGAATGCTTCGTGTTCATCTGCCTCCTTCTCGGTAGTTATCTCAAAGACATTTGCATCTTGATCTCCGACCTTGATCAGATCTTCCATGCATGTCCATCCTTCCTTATTTGCGTCCATCGTCATTAATGGAACAACCCCGGCCAATACCGACGCCACCTCGGCCAGGAATAGAACCTCTGAGTCTGTAATCAGAAGTTTAGCTCTCGCCTGCTCAAGTCTGGCTGCAACATCGGTTTCAGACATTTCCTTCTGAATTGGAATTAACGCAATCGTCGCACCGCTAGCTATAGCTCCATAATAAGCTATAGGATACTCGATCTACAGGTTGCGCATTCCATGTTAGAGGCTTTACTGCAATTTCAATTGCCAGGAAACCATACCCGGTCCTTTGCCAGGATGCCCACAACGTCACCTGGCCTGATATCATATTCCGTACGGAGAGCGTGCGCAAATTGCTTGCTTTTCCTTTCCAGATCTCCGAGCGTCAGGGTGTCTTCTTTTCCATCAACACGGTACAGTACACGGTTAGATGGATATTCTCTGCGCCCATGATGGAAGACGTAATTGAATATGTCAGAGTTAGGGACTGGAGGGAGCTCAAGTCTGGACTCGAAGATCATCGTTGCTGGTAGTACTTGGTTGCCTTGGAATATGCGACAATAAAATTTGAAAGAATCAAGAACGTGAATGCGCGATAAGTTATCTTCAAATTATCTGATCTTTGATTTTAATTCTTTGGTGGTGCTATTGTTGCTGATGGTAAGGTAGGGACTGTTGCTGGTCATGACAGATATTTATATTGTGTTCATCTGTCTGAACGGTTGCTACTTGTCCATGACTTTAATCCTACCTAATGATGAAAATGACTTCAAAGGCCATAAAGCCAAATTACATCCGAACTCATTCAAAGCATCCACTTCCGGGTCGGTGTTAACGGTTGAATGTTCCTCACTCCTAAATACGATATAGTCCGAGGTGGACGAAGGGATGAAAATGTCGGCGACATAGTTTCTCAAGGAAGATCTGAAAACAACGAAGGATTCGGTTTATTAAAGGTGGTATTTTTGCATTAAGCGTTTATCAACTTACCGTGAATCATGCAAGCTGCTGCATACTGGATCTCCTGTCTACGGTTTCCTAGGGTCAACGGTGCGTATGGAACAAAATGGTGTAATCTAGCCTCAATGTTGAGAATAGATGCTGAAAGGATTTGAAGAATTTCGTGCGCGGAATCCGGATGTGCCTACGGGATTTGTGCATGCAAAGCGACCTCCAGAGATTTTTTACCTTGGATAAATAGACGAAGGATCTTGAGCATGCGTTGAGATTCTTGGAAGAATCACCCAAGATATTGTATGCTTATATGAGTAATATATCAATAATTCGGAGTTTACGAGACCTTCCTGATCCGATGCCGTTTTATTATATCTTGTCCTAACTAGTGATCCTCGTCCAAGTGGTTCCGAAGTGGCTTACTCCTTTGTGAACATTGGCATGGTTTTTTACCGTAGCATTTCTCCCTTTCTAGGTCTATTTTATTCTGATGGATACTCAATCAGTGCTACTTATAACTTGCCTAAAGTGTTACTGCAAGTTATACCCCAAACACGCCAAAAAGTTATAGGTTGTCTTGTTCATTTACATTGAGATACCGATAGCTGCAGGCCCATCAGTGCCTTGCAACTTAGAACTCTAGACAGTATACTCTTAGGAGACAAACCGTATGGAGTTCCACATCCTGATTTATAACTAGTGATACCTGATAGCGTGTTTCAAGCAAATATAATTGAAAGAAAAAAAGGAGAAGAATACCTAGAACTATAGATTGTGTTATCACTACCTTGCATCTTATATTCTAGATTGTCGGGCACTTTCTTATAGTCTATCAAATCTGCAAATGTAACATTTGATTGAATCGTCACAATAGTACAATAAGTAGAAGTAGAATAAAAAAGTCATTTTTCCATCTATTAAGCCTAAAGCGATAATACCATGGGTAAGAGAAGCAAGAAGTTTTGGTATAACCAAACAACACCTTAGTATTAGTTTTGTTCGAATCACCCTCAACCCTTGCCTTGAAATGCTTTGGGGGGCAATCAGTCTCGTTGTAAGGAAAGTGAGGCAAGTACTTGTGTTAGCAAACTGATACAAATCCGTATGGGTATAGTTTGATTTTCACTGATTGTAGTAGTTATGGCGTATCGACACTATCGAATTGACTGAGGTACTAGATTTTACTGATATTAAGAAGAATAATCTAACTCTTGGATGCTATGCCTAGGAGTCCTGATATGGTCCAGAAAACTCCAATATACCCACGATAGCATTGCATTAGGCTTCTATAGCAATAACATGCCGTGGAAAGTGGGTGGTTTGACGCCAACAAGGAGAAAATATCTCCCAAATTGGCAGCATAGTTAGGTCAATGCCGCAGGCCGAATTGACGTTGAAGTATTGCGGTAGCATTCTAGCCGTCGAAGCACTAAATTGAGTCTCAAGTAGTTATACCTTGCTCTTGCTCTCTTGTTTTCTCCCGTCCACTGTTTCATATATCTGCAAACAGGAGGCCTTAGTTGTCCTCGCCCCTATCATTGCTGCTGCGGCTGTCATAATCAAGGGCTTTCTCTTTTCTATAGTCCCTGCGTACAATTCATTCCTATCTATCACCACCCACAGGGTGTGGGACCAGTAACTACAATGGCAGACCAGATAGACGGCCCAGCCCTCCCCAGCTGAGATAATAACGGAGGACCTAGGTCCATGCTTGATGAGCACCAGTGATGCAATCGACTGCTACGGAGTATATCGAACCGCAAGAGATCACAATGGCAAATACAGCACTCCGAGAGCAGCTCGACATTATCCGTCTCCTTTCAGCTTTTAACTAATCCAGGCTTGGATATCCTCAGACGAATGAAAAAGGAGGGCCAACAACGTATAGTCTGAGACGAACTGACCATGGGGTGCCTACTCAGCCGGCGGCCTCATTGACGCCTGTGATAACCAGTGGAAGCTCACAGATATAGAGAATAGCAGCAACAGCATTCTCAGTGGCAGTGTCATCCTCTTTAGCTGTGAGAGCCTCGCTATGCACTCGCTTATATGCTACTTGCATATATTGTCTCTGTAAGGTAACTCGTCATAAGCTTTCAGCGGGTACACGACGATATGATCTACATCTTCGTGCACTAACTATTGTCTTCCATCACGCTGCAGCCGTACTTGATCCGAGAAAGGTGGAAAGCAGGCTGGATAGCGAGGAGGAAGCCGGGCCGTGGGCTCAGGGGCAACAAAAGAGGGTGTCTTTGAGGGGGAAAAGGGGCATAGATAGGGGGTATAGGGAGGCGCTTCAATTCAATCAAGCAACTTAAACGATCAAAAGATGCAAAGAAAGAGAAGAAAAGAAGAAATAAACAAATAATAATCAGAGCTCGAATGCATCTCCCTGCGACGGAGCCAGCTCAGTTTCCACCTATCCGGGAATCCATAAGTCCACCGGGCTCCCTGCATCGATTGCCGGATAAACCAGGCCCGGCCCGAAGCCCCTTTTTAAGCCGGCCTCGCCGTGTCGTTTTTTTTTTTTTTTTTTTCTTCTTAGTTACCTCAAGCTGTCGATCAAACGTCACTTCCATCCTCCGCCAGCTCGGCTCTGCGGTCCTGAGATCAGAACTCTGTCAATTGCATAGCCCCAGGTGGGATGTTGTGTCACCGACTAGATCTAGTTTGACGGCCCGGGCCTCTCTTGGTGTGTAGTTAATGTGTTAATGCGAGACCTCAGATCGATGTGAGTAACTAATCCTCTTTATCAATTGATTTATTAACTAACTGTTTACGGAGTACAAACATGAGCTTTTTGTCAAGGTCATTTCTAAAACGCTACCAATGCTAATATGGCAGTCATTTCAGGGGATTTGGTTTCATTTGGTTCTCATAAAAGAATAAAAATTGCAAGCTGAATGTCAGTTCAAATAATAGGGGCCCTAATGGAGTATAAGCTGGAAGAAATAAGTGAAAGATATAGGGACACCAATACCCCTATCCGTCTCTCCAGTCGGCCTCTAGATCCACCCTTGCGCAAGCAAGGATAATTCTGGTCAGTGGTGTAAGGGTAGCACGATCCAGCTGGCCTGCATCATCTATCTCCATAAGTTTCTGCAGCGTGGGGGCTGGACGTATTATCTGGGTATCTTCCCGGCATATCTGCCACTGGGTCTCATTGCCCGCCCTCCATGTCTGCTCTGTGGTAGGGAGAGGCATCTGGAGGATGAGGGTGTCGTCCAAAGGCTCAAAATAATCGAAGTGAAATCTGCGACACCTTGCTGCTAGAACATTGATTAAGTTGACAAAAAATACACATCGTCGCAGTGACTCTGCGAATTTCCAGCGATTCCAGTCGGTCTCTGTGTCCGAGGTGACGGCTTCTTTATATAAACTACACAGCCGACGAGTCATCTATCAAACTTTGTGAGCCACCCTAGCTGCCACCAAAAACAAGAAAACATTGTTCGAATTGCGAAGAATGGAAGCATGCGGGATGTACCTTTAATAAAAATGAAATATGAAACTCGGCCGCCAGTCCCGATCCCGTTTGCGGCCTATCAACTTCAACGGGGCCTGTTGTTGTGCTCCGATCACCCAAGGAGCTGAGGATTTGATAAACGCTAACGGCATGGAGCGCAGCCAGACATGTTTCCGGCTGATCCACATACAGATGGAACTCTCGGATCAGCTTCTCCCGCTGAGTATTTATCATGGTGTCGATAAAGCTCGAGCTTGACTCGACACAGCTGTCGTACGCAGAGGCACAAGCCAGTGCTATACCCAACGGCTCAGCCATACCTCCCTGTGCACAGCGATACAGGCTATGGTGGATAAACGGTGACCAAAAATCACGTTGAAGAATCTATTTGGGATAATCACGCACCCTCTGAGACAGCTCCTCGAAGAGTTCTCCGGTATTACTGGAGACCGTACTGTGTCCTGGGAGAAAGTTGTTTGCAAATAAGTCCTCGTCGCAGCTAAAGTCGCCATTGGGAGACAGCCCTAGCCCTATGGACGATGAAGCACCAGATGAAGAAAGCAGTGGTGGAACTTGAGGAAGTGATAGTGGCTCACCGGGACCAGGCAGTTTCGGTATATTATGTTGCTCCGGTATTTGAGAAAAGTACGAGAGCAGCTCGCTGTGATATTCAGAAGGATAGTTTTCGGGGAGAAAATTTTCGTTCCATCCCATTGATGCTGACATTTCGAGGGCGGGAAATGTCTCATCATTGATATTCTGAAGCATGACATCCGCATTACCGGCCTCTGGACTCCACGGAAAGGTGGCTACAGTGCTACAACTGTCCTGAGAAACAGAAGAGGTGGCAATACTGCCATCGTTGTAGGGCATACTTGGAGCGGGGATGATTATATCGTGAGCTTCGCTGATCGATGCTGAGTCCTTTGCTATTACAGCGGTATCGTCCTAACTCACGGCGAAACCACAATGAACCTCGATTAACGGCTGATTCAACCCAAAAGGTCTTCTCTTGCTGCCTACATAAATTTAAAGGGCGAGCAGAGTAACATACCTGGTGCATCCGTGCAGTGGGTGGGTAGTGACATGCTGTCTGTGATTGAACACAGCGACTACATGCTGGACGAGTTAAGCAACATCGCAACTTTTTCTGTGCGCAAGTTTCGCAAGACTTTCTCTTTGAGACCCGCTCGTGATTAGCAGACTTAAGACAACGGCGTCGGTGCCGGTCTCGAAGATCGCCTAGATGTTGGAGTTAACACTCTGGACCCGACAGTTAGGGGGGATTGAGAAAGGGAAAGGCTTGTATACGCCGGCGGTAGGTCTTGTTGCATTGATGGCATCTGAAGTCTCCATCTGCTACAACAGCAGCAGCAACAGAGTCCATGTCTCTGAGACAGCCTGTGTTCCAAGTGGAGAGAAAACCAACGGGGTCAGCCTGGGTGCCAAATACACGATGGTTCAACTCTTGTCCATAGAGCCCAGCTATCTTGTCTAGGATAACTACTAGCTTTGGCTTTCCGGCTCTTTCAATATCTCGAGTTACCTTTATTCTCAACCACTTTGGTGCACCTGACTTGCGTAAATCAGGCCTTGACTCGAGGATCTATGTATCTATGAGGGCCTGCGACTCCTTCGTCCTATGAGAGCAAAGGTGATAACTGTTGGTAAGCTCGGCTGGATGTCCGAGCCTCCCTTCCTGCTATTCCTAAACACCACGTCAGAATGGATAGATGATGCTCACGATCATCGGGATCTGGGATGCAGTTCATTCGCATAAAGACCACTGGAGGAGTGCTATATTCCTTTTTACATATGCACATCTTTTTTTTTTTGTGCTGGCCTATTCCGGGTGGTGAATGCCTGTCTCTATCCCGCCACCCGTCCTTCACGCTCCCACTACCTGGAGTGTTAGGGCTGTCTTACTCGCATGTCACCTCGATAGAGGCTGGGGTATATTTGGCTGTTGCTTGGCTATATCAAAAGTTTTCTCGTATATGCACGGAGAATACCACGGAGCCATATCCATGGGCCCGTCGTATATCAATACAATGGGACAAAACGTGTCTATGTCGTCATCAATATGATGTATGGAATACATGGCTTGACGCACGACGCAAGATGCAATAATATACGTCCCAGCTACGGTTGCATTACCTATCCCTGCGGCACGGCAGTGTCGGAAATGAGACTACAACTCTACGGTAGTGCAGCGAGAATGAATGTGGGAATTGTATGGGTTTACTCTACTCATGTTCGAGAACAAAATAAACGACTGAAGAACGTCCACTTCAACGGAGGATTAAAATGGATCCAGCTTCGGTCCGAGGACCTCAAAATGAGGTTTTACTTTTTCCCCCGTCCGATATATATCCAGATTCTACGTCGGCACTAGCCATCACGCATGCCGTCTTGTTAGGTACAGGGGTTGGCCGTTAGTCTCATTCTGCCTGGCAATGTCACTACTCTTTATGTGCTTATGGTGCGGAGAACTGTCAACATGGTCTATATGAAATGATTTCGATTGCGTGTTTATCTGTGTGGTTCAAATAGCTTAAGAATATAAACAAAAGCAGCAACTGGAAGGTTATTCACAGAAATTAAGGTAAGATATTATTCCCTCCTCTTGCAGTGAAACCATATGAAAAAAGGATCCAAGGCTAACATATGGTTAGACACCATTTCCTGCAGCCGTCTGGTACTTTGCATCAATGTGCTGTGCGAAGTCAACGAACCCACGAACAACAGTCAAACCCTGCAGGTATGACAGTCGTGGATCACAGAGACTTCGATAATTCGTGCCGAGTTTCTCTTCTGATCCCATGTCCGAGCCGTCAACGCATTCGGTAACGAACTCTCCGGTTTGTTCAAGATGGAGCCCTCCAAGGGTAGAGCCGTTCTCCCTGTGAACCCGGTAGCATGTCGTTGCCTCCCGGAGGATAGAACTGATATGGCGTGTCTTATGTCCCGAGCTGGCAGTGCAAGTATTGCCGTGGCATGGGTCACACATCCAAAGCGGTCTGTGGCCAGACTGGTGAACGGCCTGGATTAGGGGTGGGAGAACAGTTTCAACCTTGTCCGCCCCAAACCGAGTGATAATAGTAACGCGGCCAATATGATCCGGGTCTTGAGCATTGGGGCAGATGCAATTCAACAGTTCTACCAATGTTTCTCCAGTCATGGTAGGCCCAACTTTGATTCCGATGGGGTTTCGCAGTCCACGCACATATTCGACATGGCCTCCATCAAGCTGTCGAGTTCTCTCGCCGATCCAAATGAATGAGGCAGAGGTGTTGTAACGGCCGTCAGTTGAGGCGCTCTCAAGAGGTAGATGAAGGGCCTCATGCGATGTATAAATTGTTCCCCCATTGGCTCTCTTAGTCGCTCCCTCCTCACCATCAGCGGGAGTGGACGGAAAAGAGCCCATGGGCGGTGTGGAGAGCGCATCTGGCCCGCGTATGAGATTTAGGGTAGCTTGAGAATGGAAGTATCCAAGCAATAGTCTGTGAGGATCGGGCTGGCGCTCAGAAAGCTCTGGTCCATTGACATTGTGGCCTCGGAATGTTGGGACCTCGGTCCCATCAGGCAGGGTTTCCCACAGAGAAGATCGAGGTTTAGCATACTGACCAGCGATTCTCCCAACGGTAGCCACAGGTCGATTGAGCCCCTGGGACAAGATATGGGATTGCTCTTCGAGAAGTCTGACCTTCTGGTTGACGATGTGAGGACGAACATCATGGAAGCTCTCGGCACAATCACCTCCCTGTAAAACGAATGCCTTTCCGAGAGCTGCTTCTGCGAATTGGCTTCGGGCAGCTTCAATTTCCTCGGGAGTGATCAGAGGCGGTAGATTTGCGATTGTATTGCAAACATCCTGCAGAACCTTGGGGTCCTGGTACTGGACTTCTTGGATGATGGTTTTCTTGGTAGTCCATGAAGTTGGGCTCCAAGAATCGCTAGATTTGGACGAATGAACCGTGGCTTTCTCCTTTGTTGTGGTATTGTCAAACATAATGGTTGACTTCTGGGTTGATGCAATCATGGTGAGCCGCAGGCAGTAGTTGATAAACGATGTCGATGTCTAACGTCTTGATCTGATTTAGCTGTTGAGTGATACTTGTTATGTTTGCTCGATGGGTAAGAATAACCCTGGAATGCTGTTCACATCGGACTCCTTATATACCCAAAATGGGCCTCGCTTAGGCCGTTATTCGGCAAAATGGTCGATTCGGAGATCATCTGGCACGGTGGTTATCTGTCGACCTGCATAGACTTGGTAATATGTCCTTTCGAGAGTCTTAGGGATGATCTAGAATGCGTCTGCCACAAAGAAAACAGCATTCAAGCCCGTGCAGCGCAACAACTCATCCCTCATGGCAGCCGGACAAAGCTATGGAACAGGTCTAATGAGCCCCTATTTTTGCTGCAGCCATACTATCGGAAGGAACTGGATAGTTTGCGTGCACAAGTGCACAATATATACTGCTACCATTTGAAAAATAGCCGGGTATTTGGATCTGATCCTGATAACACTGGAACGGGAGTATTTCCTTGCGTTCGAGGTACAATCAATTTGCTGAAAGGAACATGGAGGATGTAAAAGGAACCCCTCAATGCCATGCGTATGTACTTATACATACTGTGTTGTTCAGTCAGCGCTTTGCGATATAGCTTTAGAAGCTATATTTGGGTTGTTATAGCGAGATCTTATCTGCTATCTACCTTTCTTACAGCATTATTATTCCCCGATGCATGTATTGCCTCACGGAAAAGTTGTAGAGTCTTCCAATCCTATAACTAGAGGATAGATTCATTCCATCAAAGACTATGTTTTATTAATGATTCCCTCCACACTCCTTAGCGATGCCCCAAAGGCATCTCGCTCTCCCCAACCGGAGAGAAACATGAAGCAAGAAGCATGACAGTACGTTGGCAAAGTGAACGGCCAGACCATGAAGTCCGGATAGGGTTTATAATTAACTTCGGATAGATGCTTTGGTGTCAATAATAATACTTGTTATGTTTACTTGCAGGAGAAGTGGGTGCCTGTTGAGGGTCATTTTATAGTTACTTGATGCTTTTGCAGAGGGCTCGATAGTTGGCCAGGTAGTTAGCCTTTCCTTTACTCCGTAGCCGCTTTTTCACTGACCAAGAAATGCCATTTCTACCTTCAGGGGAACAGGCCGGACCAGACTCATGATTTGCAGCAAGTGAGCCCTGTGGGAAACACTCAGTAGGTTACCCTATGCCTGCGTTCACATCCAACTCGGCAGACAGCGCTGGAGTCGTCATCCTACTCCGTACAGATCAAACATTTGTCATAGTATCTCATTACTTGCACAATATAACCCACCATCATCGCTTGATACACTGCTATGTTTGCTTCATTCGAGCTTCATAGTGCAAAATAGTGGTAATAGCAAGAAAATGATGTTGGCTTTCCTATAACTACTCCGTACATGACTCTTGCATAACTTAGCCATCCCCCATCCCTCCACAAGGAGCTAGTTAAAGAGCGGTAAACTGTATCCCATTATCCATCCTGATCTAATGATGGTTCTGGAAGGTCGAGTTGAAAGTTTCTCGTCTGGCTATTCGGCATCCCTGGCGATATCAGCTCTCGCCTATTATCTCGCCCGAGCCAGCGGCCCATCGACAGGGGTCAGGGGTAAACCAACCGCGGACCAAACATGCGTGTCCGGGGCTGTCTGAAGCGAGCAGAACAGCCATGGATGACCGGCAGCGATGGGGATCTTATTCCCCGCGGGGGAAACATGCAGGCTTGAGCAGAGGCAAGTCAGTCCAGCATTTCTTGGAGTCCTCATCACCCGGCGGCCACCATCTCAGCTCTCGGGACGTTCTCGCCGTCTGAATGAATCCCCGGCCATGAAATTCACCCAGACTCAGTCGTTACCTTCCCAGGGTGTGTCCACATTAACGAGTTATCTGCTTTGCAATACTGTTAGCTGTGGTTTCTTATATCTGGCCGGGGGAAGAAGTGGGCTGAGTCTTGCTCCCTCACAGGGAAGATCGCCGTCCCCGGCCTCTTATAAATGGAGAAATTGCTATCTTTTTCTGACTTTCGTCC